GAAGATTGAACTTGGAGATGTCAAAGTTTACTTATAACATAATTCGTAAATGACTACAAACGTTTCTAATTTTCTTCTAATTTCTTCTAATCGCAAAGACTTTCTATGATAAAATAATTTTTGAAAAATAACGTTAAATTTAAAATAAGTTGGCAAACAATTTTTAAGAGCTGTTAGTTACATATAGAAGTGACGCGGTTGTTTATAAAGCTAAAAATTCATTTTTCTTTTTCTTTTTGGTGAGTATCAATTGAATTTAAAACATTCGCATGATGATCGCCTTGCTAAAACCTGCGCCTTGGTTTTTTGAACTCGTGAAAACGGACGTAAACGCGAGGATACCCATCGCAAAATCCAGAAACAGACAAGAAGTCCACTGTGGATATCACTGAAGGTTATAAGGATGTTGACCTCTTCTTGTTGCAAAAAATTCGAAACAAACATACACATCCACATTACACATGTATGTATCTGTAAAGATAGGCATTCAGGTTTCTGCAAACCAGTCGTTCCGAATAAGTATAATATTAAGTTAATGGCGAATTGCCCAACAAAATATAAAAAGCCAACACGAGAACTCCATCACCAAGCGGAAGTCAAAAATTGGAATGTTATGGAAATATTTCCCGTGAAAGTGTCCAAGAAAAATACATTTCAAAATCCGCTTTTATAAAGTGAAATTTTCTACACAAGGAAAGGGAATAAAACATAACAACTTGATGTCTTAAAATTTCTCAGTTTTTACAAAAGAAACCTACGAAAAGCGAAACTTTTAGACTTTCATTACTCTTTTGTTTTTCGAATTTTGAAGTCGGAGTACAAGGGAAAATTACAGATGTATTCGATTCTCGGTAAAATTATTCGAATGCAGATTCAAGAACAAACGTGGATCTAACCTTTTAGATTTATTAATGCCGATTATTCCAATCGTACAGCAAATTCTGAACGTAAAGCTTTGTTCTCTGAGTTGTACCTAATTACCAAGAAAAATTGAGTAACAACAAATTCAGTTTTATTATCAAATGTCATAATTGCATTCAAATACTCTGCGTTCTTACAATCATTCAATTTGTAAAAGTATTCGATTCTGCAAATCATTAATTAGAAATATCTGGTAGAGGATGGCACTTACACTGGTAAGACTAAGATAGCAATAAATAATTTATAGAAATACATCTGTAGATATTCGAAAGAAAAACGTAACAATGCAATAAAATTAATATAAATATTTAAATCTGAATGGTTAATAAAAAGTAAACTTACTTCTTACAGACAGAAAATAAGGCACTGAAAATTTCAGGGTCTGCATTTAGAAAACTTTTAGCACCAACCTTAACATTAACATCTAACATATTGTTTCATCTCAGTTGGGTATTCTGTTTAAGTTAGATTATTGCACTATCAGGTAGTTATCTTATGTTTTCATCGAATTGTTAACAATGAAAAAACATTTTCTTTGTTATATGTATATATTTATTTTTATGCAAGATTGCTAGGTAATTGTAAATTATATTCATCGTTAATTTCATATTAAATAGTTTGCAAATCCTTTTATTTCAAACAGCCACATTGGGTGGAATCAATTTTTTTACTTTTATCAATTTTCATTTTAAATTAAAATATCAAATTGAGAATTAATTTCGAAGTTAAAACTATAATGATCCATTTTTACTGTTGTGTTTACATAAGTAAATTAATATTTATTCTTCTAACGTAAATTGTTTATTATTAATTGCATTATAACTTCGATAAATAAGTAGGTAAGACGTTTCCTAACCAGAATTTTTTCTTTTCATGTCACACCAGCCAAAATGCATAATTTGGTGAACAAGTGGAATAGGTACATTTTTCAACTAATCTGTCTGAAAATATCTCCTGCTAAAGTAGCCGAATATTCAAAATCCTTTGAACAATGCAACAATTGAAAAGCATTAAATTGCATTTATTGGACTTAGTTTACATTATTATTTATATGAAAATATGACTGAAGGCATCTTCATAAGATTCGTCAATTTAGACTGGTTGAACACGCCTCCACTCGTTCTTATCCTTAGCAAGTTCTTACATTTCCCTAACTAGAACCCCACATCTCTAGCTATTTGCGGATAGTAGTCTATATGTAACAATTTTCCAGAAAAAACCAATTATTTTATATTTAAAACATATTAGTAGAAAAGGCTCTTAATTTCGTATCGAACGTTACTATTTAATGTGGCTTATTCCTTTTGAAAAAAAAGTCGTCTTGTAAGATTGTCAATTCTGCAATAATATGTATTTACTGACAAACACAGAAATCTTATTTTTCAGTTTATTAAAGAAAATTTACATAAGCATATTGTGCGTATTTCAAAGTGACCCTATGAAGAGTTTTACGGATTTATAAAACTAAAAAACATTAATATTTAAATGTTAACTAGAAAAGCCTTGAAGAAAGCAACAAAAAAATGCTGTAAGAGTACCCAGTTCACAATTTTGCGCTGTATGTTTATTTAAACGTGCAAACATTTAAAACACTAAACATGCTGACAAAGTAACATGCAATAAGGTAGAATCAGTTTGTATATTGGTTTCGTCATACCTATAAGCTGGATGCTTATAGATCGGTGGCTCACTGTAGGTACGTACTACGTACTAAAAGAAAACATGACGCTTTATTAATAATTGTAGACCAATTTCATGCACGAAATTTTGCAAGTGTCCTCTACCTACCTAAAAAGACAGTTAATTTTTAATTTGCATAAAAAATAATGTCTGAACAATTTTCAAATATGTATCAATAGTTTCAGATAGTGGTGGTTGGTGGTAAAATGAAGCAACTGTTCTGCGTATGTTTGCTCACTATTTTTTTTTAAAGTTAAGTGTACGTATCTTTTAATTCCTCATAGAGGCAAACTTTTACAACGTTTTCATTAAAGCTACCAATTTTCGATTAAATAATTCTTCAGTGGAAAGCACCAACATTTGATTCTTTTGACAGTTCTATAGCACCTATGCCTTTAAAAAATTATATATATATATATATATATATATAAAAATATTTGAACGATTATCAAATGCATACGCGAGAACTATGTACATCAAAATTAACGAAGAAGTAGATAATAACTAGCAAACGAACAAATGGTAAAATATTGACATACATGAGTTATCATAAAAAAAATTGCAATAACTTCTCAAAACGACGACATTACATAATGTGTATGTTAATGACAATATCGTCATTAAACAATTTCAACTGTTAAATTAATCATTCCTTCAATGATTTTAGGCGGATATATTATGTTGTATTACATTGTACTCATTAAAAATTTTCCTTTCGATGGATACCAGTTTCGAGGTTGTCTAATTGATCAAAATTTTCCAATATAAAGTTGCCTTTACTTTAAGGTTACTCACTAATTATAATGGAAGGTATCAATTATATGATTATTATTTGTTTATTGTCGAGATGCACTAAAACTTTTTGTGGTGCCGGTTACGTAATTTGTTGCAAATCAAGTTTTAGTCAGGTGTAATTATTGATCAAAGTTCATCAGAAATACCGAAATATCAATAAAAATAGTCTCATAGCTTCAGGCATCAGATAAAGAATTATTCATAGAAATTGATTTGTTAAAATATGAATAATTGCTGTTGACAATATCGACATCGGTGTTTATTTGAATGGTGTCATCAGACTAAGACGTGATTGAAAATAAAAGAGTCACAAGGTGCTTACTGTGCAATAGACAATTATTTAACAAAACGTGTTTATGTATTTTTAGGCTAAACATTAAAATATTTTCTTGGATTATCGCCAAAGAATTAATGCAAATTAACTATTTATGATTTTTTGAGCAACCGACCTTCACTAATCCTTGTTAATATTTAATTCTGAATACATTAGCGAAATTACTAAATATATGTACAAAACGAATTAAAATGTTAATTCAGACATAAGCCGAGCACGCGTTATTATTGAACATCAAGCACAAAAAACTGAAAAGTATTTACGTTAATGTATATGAATATTTCTACGAAACCCTTAGACTCATACCTCCTCTGTAATAAAAAATACACTTTTGCAACACACCGGATGTGTATAATAACTCCGAAAAGTTTTCTGTTGCATTAATTTGGATGAAATGGGTATGTGGTGCAAGAGCATCGAATGACCACTTTTTCTCGCAGTAATTGTAAATGATTGTGTAAAATTCCTAACCAGAACGATTCATTCTTCTGAAAACACGAATAGAAACATTTAGAGAAGTAAATTTAGTAGGTATAATTAAGAAATATACTCGAAAAGACAACGCATAAAAACATCAAAAAGTTTTTGTTCTTTTCTTGCTGGGTTTCGTAAAGCTAAAACGAAGGATCTAGAAAAGATTTTCAGAAAGATAGCGTTTACAATATGCGATTCCTTACTTTTATAACTAGCAGAAGTATCTAAAGCAGTTCCAAATATCCAATAATATCTTGTGTAGATGCCGTCGTCAAAACTCACGATTATGATCGTATCTGGACACTGCACTTTCAGGCCATTCGGGGCAAGTTTCTAGCACAAAAAAAAACACACAGAGCACTGTTCGAAAGGCGTTTGTGTTGTTTTTGTTTAAATCGACGCAAGACAGACGTAAAATTTTATTATTGTGCGCCAAAAAAGAAAGTGCGGGACTGCGGTGCAAGAAGAAAGAGAAACAACTAAACTCTACATGCACGACTCGCTTGACTTACACCTTCACTTTCATCCGTTTTGTTGGCTAGATGGCTGATTGTTGGACACGACGACGGTGTTACGCGATACTACCTGGGGTTCGCCGCTGCACTGGTGATTGAAATCTCTTGCACGGTGATCACCAGACCCCTAGTACCCCCACGAAGCGAGAGAAGAGACTTGGTTCGCTTCACAACGGTCGCGATGACAAGTTTGTCCTGCAGCGAAACAAGCAACAAATTGGAAGAAGTCTCGTCCTCGACTCAGCCTACTGCGATATCATTCGCGTCATCGGCAATATTTTTTTTATCGGCAGGAATTAAATTTCTTACGCGCGTTTATACGGTACAATCTGTCAACGTCATATTTATGGATGTGGAAGCCAATCTGTAAAAATGAGTATTTTCGCATACGGCTAAGCAATCAAGAAATTCGTTCAGCCGCTTTGTCAAATATTGCATTTGGAATTTGGCATTAGGGATGTTTTAGACCACAGCCAAAAAAGAAGTTGAAGTCAGAATGTTGGTGTGATTTGCCACTGCCACTCATAAGTACTATCTAATAATTAATACTAAAAATGTTGTTCATATAAACCATTAAAATCGCCTTAACCCATAACTTATTCGTTCACACAATCCACAACACGCTGATGACAGTTCCCTAGCCCAGTGCTTGTCAATTTCTTTTGGCTGTGAAAGTCTAATTGATCCACCTTTCCTTTTTTTTTGGCGGAACCCCATTTCGACATTAATTTCATCCTGACACCTCCATGTTTGCACTTTCGGAATCCCTTAGAACTTGACGGAACAACAGGGTTCCGCGGAACACCATTTAGGAACGAGTGGTATAAAAAAATACCAAATTTTCGAAAATGATTGCGACATAAACAAAAGTTCTAATCGTGTAAAAGATGAAAATTTTCTTCTAATTTTATGCTTCTTGTTTTCCGCCAAAATTCTTTTTAAATTATGTAGCTATCTGCATGTGGTCATCAGTCATCATAAGTTGATTATAAGAAGCATAATTTGTTGGTTTCTATTAGAGATGATCAGGTTTGGATCCGGCATCCGGAGAATCTAACACTTTTTTAAGGATCTGGCCAGATACTGGATAATGACGCCGAGTATCCAGCAGTGCCGGGTAATAATTCTACCAGAGAAAAAAGAAAAGACGAACACCAGCAATAATAACAATTTAATACACGTCTAACAAGAAACCTACCTTATGAAAATTAATAATTAAGATTGTATTCGGATAAATAGTCCTAATTTGTATTATAGTTTCGATATAGTTCTTGTTTTACTTTTACTAGTGAACGAAAATACAATAATATCATCGATCTGTTAAAAATTCTATCACTTGTTGGTATATCAGGTTTTGATTAACGATAAGTTATTGGTATGATTTTGTCACCTTGTAAACATTTAGTGTTCGTACGGTTTCAACAGTTTCAACTGAAAACCCTCTCGTTGAAAATCCGTCAACCAACAATTAAAATTTCATTGGTTACGTGTTTAAACTTTTAAATGGAACTTAATGTATTTTGGGATGTTGGTGAGAGTGGTGTTTAATGGAATGCAGACATTAACCGTGAAGGTTTTTCCGGGTACGTTGCATAGGGAATGTCCTGTACCCGGTTATTCGGTACCCTGCGAAATCACTATCCGGTGCATTTCTAGTTTCTATATCTTTTGCGCGAGCATTGGATTTACGAAATTTTCCAGTCGTAAATCATTTTTGTTATAGCTCTTAGCCTCTAGAGTCTAGATCATATTTATGTAGGAATGAAGTAAAATTATTATATTAACTGTTTTAACAATATTCAGAAACACTAAAAACCTAAGTAGACAATACATATAAATGAAATAGAAGCGTTTATGTCTAATATCGAAATACAGATCTGACGAAGGAAGCTGGCGAGCGGTCGCGCAGGTACTTACCCATTTATGACCTATTTGGGTAAGTCACTTGGAACCTATACTCAAATAAGCTTTCAGTAGGCGTAAATTATAGTGTTAATACACATAGGACAGTAGCGTACTAAAAAATAATGTAAAAACATGACTTATCAAAAAGAAAAAATAAACCTATTGCCTTTGTTTTATAGTTAGTTTTCACATTCACTGTCATCATGGGAATCTCTATCACTGTCACCAACATCAATAATTAGTTCTTCTGTTTGTATGTCTATTACTTACTCACTGATCCCTATTTTTAAATATTTAATCTAAGCCCCTGATAGGAAAGAGGGCTGCAATCGTTATACCTAAAACTGCCTACTTTTGCCATCGCGCATCCACGCCATTTTAAAATTTCCGCCAGTTTCCAGCGTCAGGCCTGCTAACCTTATGAGAAAAAGTTTTGTCTGTCCCTGTCGGTTTACGGGGGCTAACCTTCGGTTTCGATTGAACTCTGCAGACACCATGAAGAGAGAGAGCATGAATAATAATGTCGGCTATTTTATTTTGCTATAATCAAATATAGTTTTGAAAGGGTTTAATTATTATGACAAATCCACAAATTTCGCGTTTTGAGCAATCGGGTCAACTTTACTAAAATTGGGCTGCGAATCGTTAAAAAATATTTTTATAATTGATTGTATTTAGAATTAATTACAGCTTTTAATTTTATTTTTACCATGAATAATTTCCTTTATTCTGTTATTAATCCCATTTGTAGTTTCTTTATTAAGCCTGAATGTATACCAAGTTGATTTGCCCACTCTCCTTAACATTGCATTATTGTTTTACATACAATAAGTGCAAATAACGCGTGACGCCGCTATGTATGTCATACATTCCCTTTTTACATAACTACAACGTAAATACGCAGCTAATTAAAAACGTTTTTGTATAAAGTAATATAAATACGTAGCAAGTGTTCTTTTCTATCTTTTGTAAGACAACCTTTAATGTTTTCTCATAAAATGCACGCTTTTTATCGACTGTCTGGAGGCGGAGATTGGATATGCATTCTGCTTTAGTGTATTTCTGTGCCAGGAATTACGTAAAAAGCCGTAGGTATATTTTACTCATCGTTTTGTAAATTTTATAGCCTGAAATTATTTGCCAATTATTACTCCTAATAATACCCGTACATGCTGTATAATTAGTAATAGCTGAATTTGTCTTATTTTAATTAATCAGAATACATTTTCAATTTGTGGAGCTTTTTATCATGCCTTACAATTACTGGTTGCAAATGGTGATATTGTTAGTTATTATAGTGTCAATACTGAAGTTCATAGATAAAAATTATCAAATTAGAAAAAAGTATGAAAAAGTAGTACCTACGTCCTAAAACTCTAATCAGTATACATTATTATAAGGTTAGATAGCTGAAAGTTTCCATAAATTTGTAAATTTTTGAAGAGCATAACTGGCGACGTTCAGTTAGAGTTAGACAATACGTTAGAATAGTGGAGTGACGAATGATGATTTCAAAACTCTGCTTCGCTCGCGTTAAAAACGTGTCAAAGAGCATCGACGACCACATAAAACTAAATTTTCTTTCCCTCGGTAGCAGTATTTTTTTTCTGCATAAAGATACCCTATGTCCTTTTAAGAAGTGGCTGATTTTAGGTGTATAGGAAGTCTGGTAAGTCAAGACGGAAGGAGTAGTAGGGATATAAAGCAGAGGATAGCGCAGGGTCGAGTCGCCTTCAATAAAAAGAAGTCACTTCTATGCTCGCGAACGGTTAATTTAGAAATTCGAAAAATGTTGATAAAGGTGTATGTTTGGAGTACGGCGCTGTACGGGTGCNAGAGCGACAGCAATTTGTTACTGGCTGCTAGGTGTAACAAAAAATATGTTTTTAAAAACAAAAGATAAAATACTTTATTTTTATGCTGAGTACTTTTTTTTTAACCTTTTAGTCGAGAAATATTTCATGTAAAGCCCGAAAAGGTGGCAACCCTAGTCGAAACCCCGAATAATGACGCCTAGTACCCGGCAATGCCGGGTAATAATTCTATCGGAGGAAAAAAGAGAAAATCAACACCAGCAATAATAATAATTTAATACGTATAACAAAAAATTTTCCTAATGAAAGCTGATAATTAGTTTGTATTGGGATGTCGTTGTCCTAATTTGTGTTATTTATTGATTATTTATTATACTAAATTATCATTAGTTATTTTGATATCTTAGTTCTTGTTTTTAGTTTTTCTACAAGTGTACATCAGTACGGCTGAACTGTTACAATTTCTGTCGCTTGTTAATATATCTGGTTTTGATTAGCGAAAACTTATTAGCATGATTTTTTTTATCTTGCCGACTTTTAGTGTTTATAAACATTATAGGCTCGTTTTAACGATTTCAACCCTCTTGTTGAAAATCCATCAACCAAGAACTAAAATTTCATTGATTTAGTTGCAAAATTACTTTCGGGTGCATCTCCACTAATAAAGCGATGCAAAGGTGCGATATTATTACTGACAATTATTATAAATTATTACAATTTCTACTGAACCGTTCACTTTACACTCAATATATTATAAACTTCTATTATCCAGCTCAATACGTTGTAGTAACAATGGCAGACAGTTGCCAGATGTATTAATGTATTTCTACTTACATATATAATACATGCACTAAAATGAAAGCTGTTTTGAGAGAGCTTTTTTAACAAAATTGGTCTTTAATTGCCCTTAAGTTTAACGTTCTAGAAATGCGAAAGTGCACGGTGTTGACTGTTCTTTGAACCGCGATATATTGAAAATTATTTATTGTCTAACGGAAACTGAAATGTTAAAGAAAAGATAAAGTGTTACAGACGTTATTATGACTCAAAAACCGTAGTTGTAGTTGCTGCATTTCTCAATATCTTGACCTTGCTTTCCATAAAGAATTGAACGGTATATATAAAAAGGGAAATTGTCGTTACTGTAGCCAACTAGTATGCAAACTCGGTTTTGCAGTATCACTTGAATACTATTTACTATAATATTAATTAATTAATAACGAATAATGCAGAAATGTAATTGCATCCTGTATTGACGTTCTAATTTAATTTCTAACCGTAAAGTTTTTTTTAAAAAAAGATGAGAATTCATTTGAAATTTTGTTTGTTAAACCAATTTGGAAATTTTTGACTCGTTAAGAGTGAAATTTTAACGTAATGTTGGAGATTGCGAACACAAAATTAGAAATTCAACAGTATGAAGTTAGCAGAACTGGTGTCTATGGTCTTGGCAGTCGCCACTGTTCGCTGTTTG